ATTGGCTTCAGCCCATCGATCCAGCCTGTAATCGATATGCATAATATAAATGTCATATAGATTGGAAATCAGACTTCATGGTTTTTCTTTTCACTCTGCAATACGGAGGCCAAGGACAGGTCTGGGTTGCTCCTGATGCAAAACAGGCAAGGGTAGATGGTAATGAGGGAGGAGTAAGGAAAAAGGAAATAGGACAGAGAGCATTCAAGAGCTGGGATAACTGTTCTTGTTCCTACAAATGAGATGAGACAAATAAGACCTTTAGCAATTCCTACTTCTGGATTGAGTCCAACTTCCCTGTTTCTTTCTCTCTTTCTATTTTCTATAGATTGACCCCTCCTGGTTTTCCAGGAATCTGAACAAGTAGCAGGCAGAGGGATCATAATTGCTTTGCTGCCCTATAATACTCCTTATTTTTCTTATATTTAGAAAAAGCCCTAACGTATTCCATCTTCTCCAAGATGCATTAAATTTTAGAGGTTTTGCTCCTAAAAATGCCTACACTTCTAATTCAACATTATAAAACTGACTCACATTTCTTGTAAAGTGACACGATTTTCTTTATTATTATTATTTGCTCCCCAGCGTCTGGATTTTGAAAACAAGATGTTATACACCTTAAGAGTTGAAGCAACCAACGCTCATCCTGATCCTCGTTTTCTTCAGCTGGGGCCATTCAAAGACACGGCTTTGGTCAAAATTTCTGTGGAAGACATAGACGAAGCTCCAGTGTTCAGCAGATCCTGGTATTTAATAGAGGCAGATGAAGATACCAAGGAAGGAAGCATTATTGGGCAGGTTGTAGCCCAAGATCCGGATATAACAAAGAATGCAATAAAGTAAGCCATTACACAATAAAAAATGCTTTAGATGTGGGTCAAGTCTCATGCACGAAGTGTGATGAAAGTGCAATGTAATAGGGGGCCACTTGAGTAATGAAGCCTACAGGGGCTACTGATAAGTGTCAAGCGGAGAAATATCTATGGGAGCTTGTGAAGGTAAACACAGTTAACAGTGCAGGGTATGCTTCTGAAGGACAGCCTATAGGCACCAGGTAAAAAGAAAGGATACGTCAACATTTAATGTGTTCTAGTACTTTCACCAAACTGTTCATAAGATTATGCTTTTATACCATGTTTCCAGCAGCAAACTTATGTAAAATACTCAAAATTGTGTATTTCTACACTCCCTGCTGGTTGATAGCAGTCAGCCTTCTGTACCTTCATAATCCCCTAGACATAACACTGTCTACCATGTTCCATAGCTTAACCATTTAATGATTACATTATATTAAATAAGAAATGATTGTAAGGAAGTCATAACAATTAGAAGGAAGAGTTCAGTGCTGTGAAATTGCTGTAATTGTTAGCTATCTGTTATTATTATCTGCAGTGACAAACACAGCACCGAAATTTGTGTATTTACCATGAAACTGATTAGGAAACCTGATTTCTGCATTTCTGAACAAGCCTGTTATGTCCTGCAGCAGTACAGTTTGGGGTAAGAGGTGTGAGAGGAGGAAGAAAATAAAATATTTTTAAGTAATCTATGTATAAAATCTCAATTCAACCTGATAGTGACTGATAACTACTAGACTAATTAAAAAACACCTGTAAAATAAGTTTTTCCTTGCTGGGAAAGAACAAAGCAAAAGCAAGTGTCACAAAATAAGATTTTAAGAACTTTCATTTTAAAAAACAACTAATCCAAAGATTTTTCTGGTGATTTTGATGGTCTTTGTGACATCTAAAAAATATCTTATTATACATTGATACTTAATTATATCTGCAATGTGTGTCCTTTGATGACTGAGTTCTCCAAGAAAAAAATAATTTGCAAAAATATTATCTAAGAATGTTCACTTTTAGTTGTTATTCCAGCATTCATTTTGTAATCTAAAATGTAATTTCAAATATCAATCTAACAAACTACCCACATAAATAGTTTGCTCTTCATCCCACTCACTAGTCTTAAAAAAATGTTTCTTAGTATTTGTAACATGCTGCACTCCTCAGGAAGCTACAGGAAAGCTTAGGTTACTTGTAAAGAAAACATTCTTGATTAACCACAGTTAAAATTAGAAAACTTTTAAAGGTGGCTATGAGCTAAACTAGGGACTCTAATAGGAGACAGTGATGCTCAGTTGTGCTGTATCTTGACAGATATTCTGTGGATCGACACACTGACCTTGACAGAATATTCAACATCTATTCAGGAAATGGATCCTTATTCATCTCAAAGCCACTTGACCGGGAAGAAACTCCCTGGCACAACATCACTGTCATAGCAACTGAAATCAGTAAGTTGGAGAACATTAGAACTGAGAAAAGACTGAAATTCTACAGTATCTATGATTTATCTTGTTTCATTAGTTTTGCCCTTATTCAGATATTATCAATAGACAGTATCTTTAAATAAACATCTAAATGTTCAATTTACTACTTTAGGATTATCTTTGCCCATTCTTGAAAAGATAATTTATAATTCTCAGGCTCAACAAAACCATGAGCAGTATATATTAGACAAATTAACTGGTTCCCTGAGAATTCCCAGCAAATAATTTGGTGCAGGTGTGATACACTGGCTTTATCCTAAGCTAAGTCTTTGGGAAAATCCTTGGAAAAAAAGATGTCCATGACAGACAAATAACACATTGTCAGAATGATCACTGTAAACAGGGGAAGAAATTATGCTTTACCTCAACTGCTTTTAATTTATCTCAGGAATGGCTTCATTTGAAGCCAAGACTAGAGAAAATTCTTTCCCCTCCACGTCTGAAGTAAACCCTGGCCCTAAGTCTTTCACCTGGATTCTTTACTGTTTTGTTGGACCCTTTTAGATCTGGATGTCTCTTGTCCGCCTTTTCTTTCCAGCCAACTGGTAACAGTCATCAGAGGTGAAACAGAGAGACTGATTTTAGGGAACAACTTTTCTCCCTTCCTTCATTCTCCCTATAGATTTCCCAGGAGTCTATGTGCTTAACAGTCTGGGAGCCGGGTAATATGGATAGACGAATTATATCGCCATTTTCAGAAAGACTGATACCTTTTCCTCATAAATGTTTTTTCATTGTTTGGTCAAATATGGTCTCCATTTTCAATATGTGTACTGTGAGATTCATCTCCAGCGATAGCTTGACCTTGGAGGTCAAGTTTGTGAAGACCAATCGATGATAACATCTACATATATACTTTTTTTGGTTTTGTTTTTACATTTGGGGGACAAAGGACAACTTTATGTGTGTGTGTGTGTGTGTTGTTTTTGTTGACTGACACTGTTTAGCTGCTTTACTGCTTTGAACAAGTAAATGTTCGTGACAGTTTGACCTCAGGAAGTAGCTTTTGCAATGAATTTTTTACTGCACTGTTGTATGGAATACAAGTCAGTAATAACTCAGTGGTCTGTTTTTAATGCAAATCAAATTAAGTATACTTTGTATTATTTCAAAATACATATACTGTAATAAAACAATTTGTTTCAAATATAAGTAGGGCTTTTATGCATATGGAATGTATGTCAGTAGAAAATGAAATATAATTGTTTTTTTATAATCAAGATAAATGAATATTTCTGATGTCTATTAGAAAAAATATATTAGATAATTTCAGGTCTTTTCATAGACTCTAAATCTTTACATTGTAATATAAATAATTTTCTTGTTTCAGATAATCCTAAACAAAGTAGCCAGATACCTGTCTTCATCCGGATTTTAGACATAAATGATCATGCACCAGAATTTGCCAAATACTATGAAACATTTGTTTGTGAAAATGCAAAAGCAGGACAGGTAAACATATACTTATGTTACTGAAGAACTTGTAATGAGACTATCCTGGAACACCATCAGAAAAACTTCAGCGTATCTTAATTTGAACAACTGCAAACCAACCCAGCCTCTTTATTCCCTACCTTCTACAGAAACTATGAGTTGATTCAAAAAAGGTTTGAGGAGATAAAAGATGCAGGATTTTACCCTAGTATACAACATAGCATATAATACAAAATCACACTTCAAGGTGTTTTTTCATTCCTAATATAAGAAAATATTTTTCGTAAGTAGTTATACATAATGCTACAAAACTCTTTACACTGTTTGATAATTCCATTTCTTTCTGGATTTTTTTCAAAGCCTGAGTTAATGTAGCCACACCTTCAAGTACACAAAGCAGGAAAATCTTTTATTATGCTTCAGTAAGGGAGACATGAAAAATAAACTTTTACAAAAATAAAAGATAATGTAACTCTTTCCATTATAAGTTAAACTTCAATTTGGAATTGAGTTGAATTTGGTCAAAGCTCATTTATATCCCTTTTTAAAATATCTCAGCAATTCTCTAATAATCTAAAAAGACAATAACAACATTTGTAGAGAAAAAGTGATAACTCGGAACTGAGAAAGGAGGCAGACCAACGGAACTCAAGATATTACAGAAATCTTTTAATATTACTGCCTCTACAACCAACGTCTGTTTATGCTAATGCCAGTCAACCTTTCAGTTTTAAATTCTGTGAAGAAAGATGTATGTTTTGCTGAGTTTTAATTCTGAAAGTATTTACCAAAGAACTGGATTTAGTAGCAGATCGGGTACCTCAAGATTGTCTTTCAAGCACCAGCCTAAGTCCATGCATGAGCCTCTTCTCTAGACTGATGCATTTTTCAGTGGAAGAAAAAAGCTTGAGATCATTATTTTTGCTAGCACAAACCTGAGTGGGTTCATACTCCAGCGGAGAGAGGTCAGGATGGAGCCCTAAACTTATCTTAGGTCTGTCCTTGTGTCTCACTAGTTTTGTGCTGACATCATCCAACCAAAGCTGGCTGACTTCACAGAAAGTATGTGGAAAGGATCAGAATGTAGGATATTTTGTTTGTCCTTACAGCACAGTGACCATGCAACATTCAAAGGCTTTACAGGGCTGGGGGATATGGATACACATCAGGAAGCATGCTCATGTTTTCCCTTGGTTGCTGCCCAGTGTTTTGTTTAACATAGCCACGGGGGCTGCACTGAAAACAGCATAGATGGTACCTGAGATGAGTCTAGAATTTCAGGTCCTGCAGAACTCTAGACAGAACAAGAACATGCAATTTACCAGTTGCAATTCAAATTATGTTTTATGAATGGTTTAACAGATTAAAAAAAAAAAAAAAAAAAAAGAGAGAGAGACCAAAAAAGGGAGAAAAAGAGGATACACGGATCGCTGGAGTTTGCATTCAATTCTACTTATTTTTCATTCATTGCACCTAACACTGGAATTTAGGTAAGTGGGTTAGAAAGACAGAGGATACTTTGAGTGAAATCACTTGGCTTTGAAGAGGTACTTGGCCATCATTTTAATTATGATCAGAACATTGTGTCTTAACCAGTGACATAAGTTGTCACATAAGAATACAGTTCAAGCCTTACAGAATGAGCAAAAAATCCCTAAACTTCTGGTTATTGTACCCTCATAGTTTTGTTTTATGATTTATAAGCTGTTTTTCCAGGTGGAATACATTCAAATAATTCTAGACATTAATTTCAAACAGCTAGCATATGACCTAAATTCTCTCTGTGCAACAAAATCTCTTTGCACAAGATGAAATTGAGACAAATAAATCTTAAAATCTTAATATAACGACTGATAGCAAAGTGAGTCATGCACTTTAATTGAATAACACAAAGAAAGGTTCCAAAGTTTACAAATGAAGATTTCATTGAAATTAATCACATGCAATTTTATCAATCAGCAAACACAGGTTTGTCATATATTTGAACCAAGTTCAATCCAGGCACACTGGTATAAAAATAATTTACCTTTCTGGTAAATTCTGTGTTTTTCTAATAACGGAGATGACAGAGACCCATTAGATAGGCATACTGTCATTCACACCTCCCTTCCATCTAGCTTACTAATGTAATTCCAGGAATTATTTTTCCTAATTGGAAAAATCCACAAAAAATACTAGAAAGACAGTGTGCATCAAGTGTAGCTGCAGAAGAATGAGAGATCCAGACTGGTTTTCTACTTGTTAACAATTGGGTTCCTCAAGAAGGGCATCAGAGTTCATATCTGGACATTTACATACAGTTGACTTAGTATTTCAGAAAACAAATTACCTTCAGTACATGAGACTACTTTTATTTTGGTGCCTAAAAATAGCAATGAATATGGAGATACACACTTGAATATTTTGGCCAAGGATGCTAAGTTCCAGATAACCTCTATTGCTCATGTTTAGCAGTCCCCCTATAAATACAATAAAGGTATACAATCATGTTGTGTTCATTTAGTACTACTCCACCTTATTTCAGAGATCACCTAAAGCAGCTGTCTTATTAGAACCATTATTGTTTCTTGACACATCACACCAGTGCTTCTACATCTGGTGCCCATATCAGGAGGGCCAGACTGAAAAGAGATATATATTTAGTTGGTTTTTTTTGTTGTTGGTTTTTTTTTTTTTTTTTAATCGGGCCCAGCTATTAATCACACCGCACTCTAAATCTCAGTTGCATCAGGAAGCAGTCAGAATGATCAAATATTGTTCTCTGCCGCCAAGTGACATTACTCTCTCTCAACATCAGCAGATATTAGAGGCTGCATTCATTGTGTTTTTCAGATAGCCTTAGGAGGGTCAGAGGAGAGAAAATCCTAAAGTCTCTCTTCCTCCCCTGCCACTTTTTTGTCTCCAAACAATGGTATGACTGGGGAGAAACATTGTCACTAGAGGTGCATAAACAACTGTGTTCATTAGGCTGGAACAGATTTGTCACCATGTGAGTTCCATTCCACTCGCTAATACTTAGGCTAAAGAAAAGTATGACGCAGCCTTCCTCTCGCACAATTTAGAAATCCCTAATCCTTTGATGATGTGCTAGAGCCCCAGGGACTGTTGTGGGGAAGGCTCTGTACAAGATCTCTTATGCCCTTGTCACGGGAATTTATTGGGTCTTTTTGGCTGGATTAGAGGATGAGTCCTTTCCATGGAAACCGGGAAGATTTGCCTGAAAAGGAGAGTGATTTAACTGAACAATTTTCTAGTAACAATTTAGCTAATTTCAACACCCGTCAAGAATAATATTTAAGAAAATAATCTGGGTCATTTTTTTTGAACTGATGCTGTATTTTTTCCTGCCATTCAGGGTCTCTCAGACATCAGAACAGAGAAAGAGTTTGTTTCCTCTTTCAGAAAGCTGGAAGATTTTTCTTTTCGTTAGTCTCCATACCCCTTTTTCAGATGGAGCAAATGGAGACCACATTTTTCATGTGGCCATTGCTAATTATCAGTCACGAGTTGTTTATACATTGTAGCTGCCTTCTCTAGGTAGACATCTATCAGCTTGATTTAGTAAAAGACCCATGCTAACAGTCTGTCTCTATTTTGAAGTAAGAATTGGAGTTCAAGGGAGAATTTTCCAACTTCTGATAAGCATTCAGTCCTGCTTTAAAACTGCCAACGGATTTGTGGAACAGAGCCAAGACTTGAAAAACAAGCTGTTTTGCATTACCAAACATGAAGCTTTGTTAAGTGGCAGGCATTTTAGAATATTTCTTAAGACATAAAGCATCAAGATCAAAGGTCTATTCAAGCTTACAGACATGTAATGGAGGCTGCTTTCTGCAGTTAGCACCATACAGGTGTATAGGCTAGAATTGCACCTGAAATGTGTGATCACTCAAGCCGCAGTATGACAAGATGGGCATCCACTGACAGCTGTATTGATTTCTAAACACTTCTATGTGGGGACACTTGAACTATATTACTTCAGTCCTAGAGAAATGTAGCCACTTTGAAATCTTCTACAAAATCTTCATCCCATCCACTTACACTGTGCTGTGTTATTAATACATTCAAGATTAGTTAGTGGTTGGCCCTACCAGATCGTACAGGCAGGAAAAGGGGCAAAAGAAAGAAAGGAAGGAGAAACACAAAGTTGCTCTTCCACCATTCCCCCATAGCATCTGCACACTACTACATTCTGATGATTGTCAAAAGTGCAGTCTCTCTCAGAATATGTTTTTTCATAGCTTATTGCAGACAGAGTGGTGAGATCTTTCAAGATTCCTTGAGAAATATTTGCAGCACAAAACAAGCTTAACAAATTTCCAGAATGACAAAGCCAGTGCTCCAAGATCCAGGATTTGTTCTGTTCTCTCCTATAACACTTCTGAAAAAAGTGTCAGACAAAAACAAACACCAAAATGTCCCAAATGTTCCTTCTCAAGTGCCTAGTGATATTTTTAAAGTCTTATCTCAGAAGCAGCTGAAAGTAGATAAATGACATTTGAGAAATTTCTCTGTTCTACAATATCCAGGTTGAACTAACAGCATAATATAACAAGAATGAAAGCCCAAATGATTCAAATGGATTGAAGGCCTACTCCTCTGCATATCTATATACCTATACAAGAAACATCAAAATTCAGCAGCTGTTACTGTATCTCTAGCTTAACAATATCTGTCTCCGGTGGTCTTGCTTCTCTGAGACTGGAAGTACAATTTTCATGCTATATGACAATTACATTGTTTTAAAACTTTCAGAAAGGCACTGTCTACAACAGCAGACCATCTTTAAATTCCTGTGAAAGTGACATTATTTTTCACTGTCTTATTTACAGTGAATTTTAAAAGAAGGAATTTTGAAGAAAAAGTTTAAAAATATGATAGCAACCACCAACATGCTACTGTTTTGAAAAGAAGTGGATATTCTATTTGTCTCAAATTTTGTTTTATTAGTAGACATTTTAACCTGAAAATATATTGCATCTGTCCACCCATAGACATCATCTTGTTCAGCTTTCTTCAATGAACCTTTCAAGAATCAGTCTGAAGCATGTTGCTGCATTTTTAAAATGTGTACCCTGGAGCCAATATGCAACTGTGGTTTATTCGGATGACATGCCAAGCCAGCACAGACTGAAAAGTGCATCTAAAAATTGGCTATCTGGTGCTGACCTCTATACTGTTAAAGATGCACTACTAGCTTAACATTTGCTCTAATGGTTCCTATATTCCTTTTAGAGGCAGTCCCAAGGCTGAGTCCACGACCCAAGTCTCCTACTTGTGAAGCCCTCCGTGTCCAAAAATGCAGGCTCCGGAATAGTAAGGGCATGCTTTGAAGTGCACAGGGACCCTTGTTATTGCAGAATGCCCTCAGCTAGCTTTTACTCACTTTCTGTCTTTAAAACAGCTTGAAGAAAACTGGAGAGCAGGCTATGTCTAGGGATGTACCAGATATACTTAAGGAATCTGTTACTAGGCAGTCTATTCATCCTCAATCACTTTTTCAGAGATGAGTATGAACAGCTATAAAATAGCCTGAACATAAACTACAATCACATTTTTTACTGTGGTGTAAGTCATGGCCTTAAAAACACAGAATGCAGGAGAAAAAAAAAAAAAAAAAAAGAAAGAAAAAGAAAAAAACAAAACAGTATTATAATCAAACCATTTCCACATTTGAAAAAATGATGCCAATGGGAAATAGGTCCAAACCCTTTAACAGAATCTCTGGCTTCATCATGAAATAAATTCCTCAAGAAATTTTTCCATTGGGAATAATTCCTCATTCACAACTCATCTTACATTTTCAAGCTACTACAACCACTTTGTCCTGAGTGTAAAAGAGAAATCTTTATGTCAAAGCCTAAGTCTAAATTTTCAGTACCCTCAAAGACAAGTGACATCTGAAGACATGAATTTACCCAATAAGATCCACTCAAGAGTATGAGACTGTTTCTTTAAACACACAGAAATGCACATGCACTTGCACACGCAACCCTAAAAATAATGACAATACTGCTGTATTTTCCAAATTGTGTTCATTTGCATGGGAAACTGTGGAAGAAAGAAAAAAATGGGAATGCTTTTTATCTTCTCTTAGCTTGGTATGCTTGAAACATATTTGAGTAAAAGTTATTTTCTTGAAATAACTCTTCCTTCATAAATCTTACAGTGTCAGAGATCTTTCTCTGAACTCCTGGTGAAGAGTGATCATAACTCAATGTCCGTAACTGCTTCAAAATGGAAGAATACGTTTCCAACATGAAATTACAAAATGTACAAGAAACAGTACTATTTTTTTTTTCATAACTGTGATACTTAAAATAAAAATAGCCACTTCTCTTTCATTTCTGCAGTGATTATCATGAACATCATTATCTTTTATTTACATCTGTATAAGTGAAAAAAAAAACCTTAATTAGATAGCAATTCTAATTTCCTTTCACTTACTCATCATTTGGAAAAATTCACCTGCAATCATCTTTTCTCATTGTTCTTTTATTCTCCCATCTTTCCTGGTGGAAGAACAGCTGGTTCTCAATTTATGCAGCCAATAGTTAGAGCAGGTAATAAGTTTTGGGGTTTTTTTTTTCTTCCCTTCTTCAGCCTTACCCTCAACAATAAGTTTTCAATGTAATTAGGTTCCTCTACGCCTGGCACAATTGTCCTCCTCCATGTGATTTGTACATGAAGGGAATCAAATCCAGATCCTACAAACATCCCACTGATTACATCTCAAAAAGCCCCAAGATACTCTACTGCAATTTCTGGTAGCTATTATATCAGAATATTTTCTCCTTGAGTTTTTCAGCTAGTAATTGCACAAATATTATCACTTATTTTAATTCTCTCCCCTCTCTCTGGTACTTTTACACTTTTTCTGTCTTTTCAAACTTGTAAAAAAGTGAGAGGAAAATTTTCTCATTTCAGGTTGGTATTTTAGTCCAATCAAAATGATTTTTTTTTTGTAGCAATATTACATTTTTGCATTAAAAAATGCAAAACTAAAATTAAGCACCTCCTGATCTTGTTGTCTGTATTGCCACTCTCAGAGGCAGATTATGGCAAAGCAAAAAGCAATGGGACATTGGAAAAATGTTGGCATACTCAGATACTCAGCAACATATTGAACAGGCTACTTTGCCATAAACAGGGATTTAGCTAATCTTGGGAAACAGCTAAAACTTAAAAAAAAAAAAAAATCTAAAGAGCAATGATCATCAAATGTTTTAAAAGCGAAGAGACCTTAATATGTAGTTATTATTCTAATCACAGTTAGAAAAACTGCATAATCCTGCCTTCAGCATAGTCACGTCCTCTTGTACAAGGCTGATATTCACAAATTACCTTTCAAGTTCCTCAATATGCCTCAAAAAGAAAAGGAAAATGATAAAAAAAAAAAATCTTGTGGTTGTTTTAGAAGGAGCTGCTAGGAAGTGAATGAGCCAAACTTAGACTTTCTGTACTGTTTGGTTTGTTGTTTTTTTTTTATAACAACTTAATATTATTAGCTGTAATAAAAGTATCTCAAAATTAACTAGAAAAAATGGGCCAAATACTCATTGTGCAGTACAGCACTAGCAGAAGCAGGTTTTTGAGTGGTACAGTAAGAAATACGTTTTAGTATTTTTGGTAGCCCTATAATTATGTTTGTCTAATACAGTGTTCCATCCTGAGAGATGCTAAATACCCTCCATAATTTAACTGTATCCTCAAGTCCCACTCAAGCTGATGTTCAGAGAAAGTACACAAGAAAAAGCCATTCCTTACTTGATTGCTGCAAAGCTTAAAAATCTTATCAATGTTACTTTTCAATTACTGTATTTCTTGAGAAGTCATGCTGTACTTTCCCTGGAAATACCAGAAAAACAAGCTGCGAAGTAAGTCTTTGATAACAAGTGGCTTTGATGTCTGTGGGATTTCAGGACACCCCACACACTGGAAACACTTGAAAACCTCAAGACAGGCATTGGCTCCCTCATGGCTTTGAAAAACAAAGTCTGACTGCTGAGCTCTTTCTGCCTTTAAGTTTAGGTGCCGTAGGAACTCGCCTGTACTGGGTTGCAGCATCCTCAGTTGAAGATTACTCCCATTCTTACTCCACCAAGCTTGTCATCTTGTGATTGAACTCAAACATGCCCTTGCAAGCCAAGGTGGAGTATGGGTCACTCCCCAGTGCGATACCCACTAGGGAGTGCAAAGGACATAGCAGTCATTCATACCGCTCACTAGAGTTACTATGACTCATGCAACCTGGCATGGTGTTAACAGTTGCAAGTCCTTTCACAAACCACAGCTATTCCCAGGTAGCTTTTCCCTTCTCAGTTCTGCAGCTGTTTTCCTTAGCCTCTATCTATAAGTCTAGCAGCACATAGAAAAAGAGTCAAATTGCTAGCATATATGTGTGTCTATATACACATGAGTACACATATTTGCACATGTTTTGATGCAATGGGAAAGCCTGTGCAATCCAGACGTACTGCTGAAGCCTCTCTTTTTTTAGTCCACTTCACTCTGACCCTATGCTGGCACTATTATCACTCCCTCCCAGCTGGGCTTGAGTGGCCTTGTTAGGGCAGCTATAAAGCTCCACAGCCAGAGGTTTCAATTTAGGAGGGAGTAAAGCATCTCTTTTTATTACCTCAGGAGAACCAAGCATCCTGCCAGTGCAGTACTCCAATTTATCGCCAGAAGCAGATGAGGTGGACTGGGAATTAGGCCTACTAAACAACTGGTCTACACACTACTCTGTGTCATTGTTACACGAGGCCACAGGAGGTTTATGGCTTATTCAGAAGGGCAATTGTTTCTGTATCACTGTGAGATACTGAGTACAAATCAAAGCACATGGCTGCCTTGCAGTGAGGACTGGCCCCTTTTTCATCCTCCGTTATGTGTTTAAACAATAAAACAACAATTTGCTTACTGTAACCTCTCCTGTGTTTATAAGGGGAATATTTAGCTTAGGACATCAGTTTGTGTCTTCAGATAGAGATTAATTGGATTTTCACCGGACATGAAAAGCAGAGACCTTATTTCAAACACAAGATTTCTAAAATAGTATGAAATACTGTTTTCTTTATAGCTGATACAGACTGTGAGTGCAGTTGACAAAGATGAGCCTCCTCAAGGACACAAATTTTTCTTTGAGTTGGTGCCAGAATTTGCTGTTCAACCAAACTTCTCCATTGTAGACAACAAAGGTAACTGCTGACCAGTACCATCCCCCCCCCGGCCCGCATACCCCATAAAACTTCATCCAC